ACGAGATTTCACCGATTTAGATGATTTAGTCGTTTTGGTGGAATTAGTTTTACTAAAACTTCCTTTTAAATCAATTAAAACAATCATTAAAATTATTATCGTGGGATTAGGAATCATTTTTGACGTTTTTTGATTTTTTTAAACGTTTATTTTTGATAGATTCAGGTTAAGTGAATATTTTATAATGGTTAATAAGGAAATAAACTATTAAATAAATTGGAAATTTTGCATCTCGGCTAAATTGACTTTAAGGTCCAATTTCCTGATTATAAACTATCTTTGATATTCAATAAGTTTCAAGATTAATGTGCTTGGAGTCAGTACGTAAAATGAAAATGTAAATTTACTAGCAAAAACATATAATTATGTATATTTCATTGTAGATCCTTTCAAATTGAAATGTTAACCCGCTTGTGAAATATATTTAATCAACGGCACAATTTACTTTATCTATGATTAATGAGGGTATTTGAATAATTACTCGATTTGAATAATTATTCACTATTTCAGCCGGTCCATTTATAATTGATCAATCGAGATCGCTTATTGTCTTCTCACGAAAACAATCGTTTATTATAACCCACAGGATGATTTGCAATTCATATTAAGCAATTCGTTTTGATTCAAAAGGTTTTGTATAAAATTAGATTAAAAAATATTTTTTTGAAATTATAATGTGGTGATTTCATACGAATTGAGTTGGGTTGCATAAACAACATTTAATATGAGGTTTTATGTTCGGATATGAAAAGGAACCAAAATAATAACCATACAAAATTATTTAAATTAATGATACGAAATACGTTATATTGCCAGTTTTATACGAAATAAGAAAAATGTAATATTAAACATATTTATGCAGTTTAAAGTTTGGAAGACTTTGTGAAACCTGATTAAGATGTTACATCATCAACACCAAGATCATGTGGAGTACTATGAAACTGGAAAATGATTTTAAAGGCAAAAAAAGGACTTGGCATAAACGAGGAATACTAGAAGGAGACAGGTAATAGCAAATGGAGATTGAACAGAAAGACTGGAGAAACAAAAAAAGTTGGGGCAAAGAGGAAGGAAAATGAAAAAAGATTGTAAATGTAAAAAAAGGACAGACATAGAAGTGGAAGGCTTTCAAGGGTCTCTTAATAAGAGAGGGAGACTAAACGGAAGCTAGAAAGAGATGATAGAAACTGGAAGAGTGAAACTAGACCAGTAATAGAATAAACAGATTGAGCAAAAACTGGAAAGTGAGCAGCAGTTAAACAGTTTACAATAGTAGTTTACTTATAACTAGGCGTCACACCCACTTAGTGTTGCCAACTTAAAAACTATTACATTCAACAACCTATCTCAAATTAATGGTTCACCATCACATTCAACACATTGCAGCTGCTACATATTCTTTGATGACCATGATACCAAATTTCCATAATAGTAACTCGCCATAAACTCTTACGATCAGTTCAATCCGTTCCACAATCAGAATCAGAGTATGCTTCAATTTTTCTGTTCACAAATCATGTCTTTTATATGTTAAATAGACACTCTTCGTATTTTTGACATATTTTAGCACCCCCTTTGCTGCCTTCCATGTACTCATGGTTGGTTTAACCAAAAATCTTCCTAAAAAAGATGTTGCTAATGATATATCAGGTCTAGATATTGTTGTCAAATAATTCAAACATCCAATTAATACTCTATATGGAACGTTTACCATATTGTCGTTCTTGTTGACTTGATATCCAACTGCCATAGGAGTCTTAAATAATTAACCATATTGAATTTCTTCATAATTTTATCTTATCGAACCTAGAAACATTTTTATTTCTCCCAAATATTTAGCATTAAATTCTTTAGTTAAGTTCTCGTAGATTGTTCTAAGGCTTTTTTCTTCTCTAGTGATAATGATATCATCGACGAACACTACATCCATACCGTTTCATTGGGCACGTTCAGCCGGTGTCAACTGTTGAGTATCTTAGCACTATATTAGCAGTCGCGGCTGAAGAATACGCTAAGTAAGCGCTGTTAAGCAGCAGTTTAGTAAATATCTCAGCATAAGTAATCTGCGCTTAGTTTGTCAGCGGTTGTGAAATTCTAAGTTAAGATTAACATTTTTTGTTTCTCCCCTTTAATATTGAAAACTGACAAAACTGTATAAAAATGAATATTGTTAATGCAGAAACGCATCTTGAACTATCTCTTGTAATAGCACAAAATTTTCAAAAATATTATTGTTGGCCATAGTTTTAGGTTATGCAGAACCGCTAATTCTCAATTGCTTAATCAGCCGATTTCGTTCCGCTGTATTAAAGCTTATACAACTATCTGACTGATTTAATTCAATTGTTGACACCTATTGAACGTACCCATTGTAATATACATACATCATATCCAGATCTTTTCAAATTGTTCTTTTGTGGGTACTTATTAAATGTATCGTTCCAAGATTTCGGTGATTCTCGTAAACCATAAATTGCCTTATTTAATTTCCATGCATAATTCCTATCATTAATCTTGAATAAATTTCTGAATTCAGACAACCGTTTAGAAAGACACTTAATAGTTTTTTATAGCATAACATGAAGACTAAAAATAGTAGGCAGAGACTAAACGGGAATTAGAGACATAAAAAAGAGACTGGAACTAGCAAAAGGAAGAAATTGTACCGAGTCTAAAAAGAGAAGAAGAAATTGGGCTGAGAAGAGAAAAACTGGAAAGATACTGTAAGTGCAAGAATGGGAATAGACATAGAAGAGAAAAACTAGAAAGTGGGTGGTAAAGAAGAAAGAGAGTCAATTGAGACTGGAAAGAAGAAAAATATTGGAAAGATTGAGATGTTTCTTCCAGTACAATATTCAATAATCTTAGGATACTATTTATTTAGGAAAGCGGGCTACAAGGTACAGAATTGGAACTGGTCCTTTACCTCCTATACATAGCAGATTTGTCTATAAACCAGTGTTAAACTTATGGCAATCAACTTTGAGGTTGTACCAGTCAAAAAGAGTCTAAATATCGTGAAAATGAAGATTTAACAAGTCTTTTCAGACAAAGTTAATCAACATAATTGTGTGGAATAGCTACAATTTTTGTGGGAAATCTGAACAACGAATCTGCAAAACATTTGCAAACAGGTGGAACAAAAAAATTGATTAATGGAGATGTTGCAGACTTTTACTCCAAATGAAGTACTACCGTAAAATCTTCTCAAGTACAATCGTTCCATTCATTTTATCTGGTTTTTATGTGATATGAATAAATTTTTGAATTCAGATAACCGTTTAGAAAGACACTTGGTGTGTCAAATTGATGCACTTTATATTAATGATGTAAAGCATGAGCTAAAAAGTTGAGCCTTTTGCTACTAATCTCGCCTTCTTTACACCATTGTGTCTTATTTTAAATACCCATCTTGTTTCAATTAATTTTTATCATCAGGTTTTTTTATGGCATAACATGAAAACTGGAAATAGTAGGCACTGACTAAACGGGAATTAGAGACAATAAAAGAAGACTGGTGGCAAAAGGAAGAAATTGTACAGAGTCTAAAAACAGAAGAGGAAACTGGGCTGAGAAGAGGAAAAACTGGAAGGAGACTGTAAATGCAAGAAAGGGAATAGATATAGAAGAGAAAAAGTTGAAAGTGGGTAAGTGAGTAAAGAAGAAAGAGAGTCAATTGAGACTGGAAAGAGGAAAGATTAAGATGCTTCTTCCAGTCCAATATTTAATAATCTTAGGATTCTATTTATCTAGGCAGGCTACTCTAAGGTTGTACCAGTCAAAAAGAGTCTAAATATCATGGAAACGATGTTTTTTTTCATGTGGAATAGCTACAATTTTTGTGTGGTATCTGAACAACGAATCTGCAAAACATTTGCAAACTTGTGGAACAAAAAAATTGATTGATGGAGATGTTGCAGACTTTTACTCCAAATGAAGTGCTACCGTAAAATCTTCTTAAGGTTATTCGATATTTCTTTATCATTTCATTCATTTTATCTGGTTTTTATGTGATATGAATCTTATTCGTTTGTAAAACGGTAGTAGTGGAAATGAAATATTCTTGCCGATACCCAGCACTTAAATTCTCCAAATGGTAATTTGATCTCCATTTTAAATAACCGTTAAATGCGCTGCCGGTAATAAATAACGCGAGATAAGAACTCTCCCGGTGGAGAGAGAATAATTTTCTCGCGCGGACAAAAATAATCGAATTACGGCCCGAAACGAGAGCAAAACGATCATCCTTGCTCCGCCAACAAGCGGCTTCAGTTCAGGACGGTAGCAGACAGCAGATTTTGCGCCATAAATTCAATCTTTAATAACATCCACGAAACCGATTCTCTTCTACTTCGCCACAACCCAACCGAAGAAGAACTTTTTATCTCATTCTCCTATCTTGTTTTTCAAGTTTACTTTATACCTTCAATAACCTTCAATTATACTTTGAACTATTTTTTAAAAATAATTTTATTTTAAATAAATTTTTTTTAAAGATACTTATTAAGAAAAATTTTTTTAAATTAAAACGAAATTTTTTATCCCATTTATATGAAGATTAATTAAAAATTGCGTTTCACTTTACTTTAAAAACACCTTTCGCAAACCCCTTTGCACTGCATCCCATTCCCGGGGGCCGTTTAAAGAAATTTATCGTCGATAAATCATATCGAATAACGAAGTAAAAATTCTAATTTGCAATTTTAATGAGAGCAACCCGAACTTACTTGGAGCGGCGTGCGATCCAGAACTTCGTTCGGAAAGGATATTTCGAGACGAAATGAGACCGGGATCCAATCATTCTGTCAGTGGACTCCTCCCAGTACGCCCCTGATCAAATTAAATTACTTGCCTCCGATAATTACCCTATCAAGTATGCTGATTTTCATTTCTTGCTCACCTTATCTGGTTATGTTACTACTTATCACTGCAGTAAATGCGTTTTTGAATTATTCCGTTAAATTAACGACATTTTAACTTAACATAATAATAATTTTGCATAGATTTTTATGAGTTTTATTAAAATTTTTAATTAATTTTCCTCTTCTTCTTACTTAACCCCGAAATTCCCGTTTCTTCTCGAAATAAGTTACTATCAGTGTAACCAGCAATAATAATCGGTATTGTTAAAGGATGAGTGTACATTGGAAGAGAAAATATCTGTTCCTCCAAGAAATTCAAAGTCATCTTTACCACATTTTCTTCGTAAACACTTCCGGAGAATAAAGCTTTAATTAATTGGTGATGGATCTTTTTAAACTATAATTAAAAAAATTAATTTTTTATAACTTAAACCTTAATTAAAAGCAAGAACAAACCTTTTTTTCATTATTCATTTTGTAGATATGAATAATATCATCGATTAAACATTTTTTATACTTATCAGGCTAAAAATGTTGCTTTAAAAATTTATAATTCAAAAGAAATAAAATTTTTACCGGTCTAGATATCAACATTCTCGTCAGATTATCCCATAAATGTGGAAACATATAGTTGTAAATCGCCGAAAATTCATCTCCATTAAAGTAAGCCAAAAAATTGTTTATTTCGCCCACTTTATAGCGCGTCACTAACTTTTTAAACAAAACGTTGTGTTTTCCCCAAACGTTTAAGAAATTTAAAACTGAAATCGGCTAAAAAATAAATTATATTGAGTGATTTTCAAAATTATTCGATTAAAAACGCATACCTCCTTTGATAAACAAGATATTTCATCAATAATACCATATGAATTAATGTGTAGGCGACAATAACCTGTACCATCGAGGTTATGTGGACATCCAGTTGAAATTAGTTCACCCTATATATAAGAATTTGTTATGTTATGTAAATCATAAAATGAATAAATAAGAAATTATTTGCGATTAAAAATGGTTACATAATTTAAACTATGTAGGACTTTATGTGTCTATAAAATAATATGTACGAATATAGCCATCCTTCATGACTTCTGTTTCTTTATATTCCCTACTTTAGATTGGTGTTTGTGGCTGGCTGAAAGTGTTGTCGCTGATATAAAGTAACCCTTAAAAGTCATCTTAAAAAAGTGGACGGCCGAAGACAGCTAGCAACGACGAAACTACATTAAAGCTTTTGGTTGTTCAAGAACAACCGCAGAATCTTTAAAAACTATAAGCCGAGCTACAAAAAGTAGTGCCAAGTTGTCAAATTTTAAAACTGGAAAAGTTTCACCCATATAAGGTACTT